TCTTTGAGAGGACACACATTTTATGCTCTTTCTTTCCTGCTTAAATCTACTCAAGATTTCCTTGACTTCTAAAAGACCTCTTTTATGTTTCAGTATTACATGCATGCCAGACACTTGGCACTCAGCAGAACATTCCCTGATAAATTTGAAATGGAACCAAGTGCTCCACCAAAGGTAAAGTCTGCTTCTGGAGATGAGTTCATCTGCCTTTTAGCTGCTTTACAGAGAAAGAGAGGGAGACAACACAGTAACAGACACAGTGTAAGGGGAGCAGAATGTCACAGATACAAGACCAAGTTCCAGTGAGGAGTTGTAATGGTATCAGACAACAGGAGCACCATGTGCAATACAGGGGCAGTTCTTCAGGTGATTTAGAATGACATGGCTGGATCTTTGCCACTGTAGACATGCTGAGGAAATGGTCCTTGGTGTCCCTTTTAGAAGACTGGCAGCTTCTACTTTTGCTGCTGCTAAAAGACCATGGAGAGATTCTGCAACCCAATAAAAGGAGAATTGTGGAAAGATATTCCAGAAGACAAGAGACAAAGAGACATTTGAACAGGGGATGTGAGAAAGAGGCTGTGGCGGGAACTGCAGGGGATCCAAATAAAGGCCCACATATGCAATCAGTTCTTGTGTAATGTCTATTAGCACCAATTTCAGAATGCAAGCTGTTCAATCCTTATATAAATTGTTTGAAACAAAATCTCCAGACACCTCCAGTAAGCAGCTCAATTTTTGGTATAATAAGGAGAAAGAGGCTCAGGCCAAAATCCCATTGCGTGGCTCTATTTTTTGCGGAAATTAACAGTGAAACTAGGAAAATGTTTTAAAACTGCAGGTGCATTCTGAATTTCTGCAGGTGCATTCTGATTGTGGATTCAGAAGGATTTTGTATATGAGTGAGGGTTTTAAGGTTTAATAAAGATACTGAGTTATATTTTGCAGCAGGCAGTGCTGGAAGGGCACCATATCATTGCATATGCTTGCTGCACAGAAGGACTGAGGGAACCTGCATTCAAAGGAATTTAGATTTGGAGTACAGAACAGGTTACATCCCATGACTAGCATTTTGCCTAGCAGTGCTGACAGCCTTAAATTCTTGTATACAATCAAATGAGGAACACAGTAATAATATATATAACTTGCTTCTCTTCCTGTCAGACGGAAGGTTTCAGGTACCCCAGGCCTTCATCGGTGCCACCATCGCCCTCTGTCTCTCAGCATTCCAGCCCTCAACATAGCGAAGCGGAAGATGAAGATGAAAGATATGATGAGGATGAGGAAGCTGAAAGGGATCGACAAAACATCAAGTCTCCCTTTTCCCTTGGAGTATTGCCGCAAGGAAAGAAAAAGCAGCATGGAGAATATAGGAACTGAATTAATTGCTCTTACCCTGGCAGGGTCTCCATCCACTCAACAGTTTCTCCTGCAAACTTGGCAAGCTTTGCGTTAAGGACAAAGTGGTATAATTAGGGAAATCTTAAGTGTTACTTGAGCTACACTGTTGGTTAACCTAATGTTATTTTACCTATAAGTAGTTTAAATGACAATTCTTTTCTCCCTCCTGGAGATAGAACAGGTTTCCCAAGCTTAATAAACCTACAGAATGTGACAGTCCCCTCATGAGCCTCTATGTTCTGTAGATAATACTTTTTTTCTGCATAATAATCTATACTAATCATAGTCCATGATGATAGCTCCATTATGGTCATTCTGGATAAATCTCTACTCCATTTATGTCACACCTTTTCCCTTCCCAAACTAATATGAACTTTAAGCCAGAGCTCAGAATATTTAGAGAAAAAAAAATGTTACACTGGGGAAACCTTGGCAGGGTTAAAAAAGATAAAGTGAAAAGAAAATGGTCTTTCTCCTTCCTCATGCTGTTCATCTTATTGTAAACTTACATCATTTAAGATCTATTTTTTTTTACAGCACACAGAAGTGTCTTGATGCAGTTGTAAAACATAGTTCCT